TTCTCATTATTTACTGTTTTAAAATTTTGACCAGTTCTGGGTACGTTAGATGGGAATTGTAGCTTCATTGTTAAAAATGACAAAAGAATTCCAAATCTTAGTTTCAAATCTAGGTACTCAAACATAAAATTCAGCACTCCTTTGTAGGACCTGTCTCTTCAAAACCGTATATTCCACCACTCTCCCCTCTTACACAAATAGAATAGATCCCTCTGTCTTGTTTTCTTAGAGACACATTGCAAAACAGGTCTATTATCTTTTATTTTCTTCGGTAGGCAAGCAATTTGAACAATAATTGAACCTATTGTCTGCTGAAAAAAAATTGCGATCTGTTCCAAATATGTGGACTGCAATGAAACTATTTCAGCATCTTCCACAGTTGTTGTAGCAGTCATATTTTAAAATGTTCTTAAAGATTCTCTAAATAAATGAGATATCTTACAGCCTATAAAGTTATTTTCAAAATAATTGTTCAATTAAAATTAAGGCAGAAATAAGAAATACATTTTCGATGTGTCTATCATTCTGGTTAGGTTCTAAATCTGCTAAATTTAGACTTCTAGGCTTTGCCAACTCGACAAAACCAGTAATATTTGCATACTCTACCCATTGTATTATCTATCTATCCACAAATAAAGTATTTTGGGAGCTTTCATAATTATAAAATATTTTTTAAAAATTAGTAATCTAAAGTTTGAAAAATAGAAAAACACATGTTTCAGGCCACTTGATCACTGGTTTGTAAATTTCTGAGCTATTTCATTAGCAAGTTGGTGAACCCTTCAGTGATTATAGAAACAATAAATATCTGAGATTAATGGCCTTCCACAATATGTGTGTGTATGCTGAACAAATGAATTTTAAAAAGGCGTTTAGATATTACATTTAGCCTCCAATGTGATTTCACTGTATCATACTTTGAATTCTCTCCTAAATCTATGAAAGACCTATTTATAACTTTACAAATGAGAAATATAGAACCTTATCTCAATAACTGACCTAGAATATGGGCAAAATCTGAATTTAAATTCCCTAAGCATATAATTTTGGATCACATACTCTTTTTTATTAGTCTGTTTGGGGGGCACACCCAGTGATGCTCTGGGGTTACTCCTGGCTCTGCACTCAGGAATTACTCCTGGTTGGGATCCAGGGACCATATGGGATACGAGTGATGAACCTGAGTTGTCTGCTTGCAAGGCAAGCACCCTATCTACTGTACTCTCTTTCCAGTCCTGGATCTCATACTCTTAAGTGAGAATAAATATGACCCAGAGATTGTTTGCTTGACAGTTTGGAAAAGTAGTCTGTTAGAATAATACCTATTGAATGTCACATGCTGTTGATTTGGGCTTGTAAAATGGAATCAACATTTTGTTTATTCAAAAGGCATATATTATCTTTCCATGCTCTTCCTTGGCATCCTTTAAACATGTTAGAGAATGAAGTCCTAGCTTCTAGATGGTGACTATAACTTTTTTCAACAAAAGATGCCACCACTAGTAGTTTCCACTTGGAAAGCTATTATATCATAATAGGCTTTTCATTATGTTGACTGTTCCATAAATATTTGACAAGGAAAAAGAAAAGGATTGTGTATTCTATTCTTTTCATACAAATAATTGCATAAATGACTTCCTATTTTTATTATAAAGGAGAACTCTTTCCCTTGTAAGGTAACTGCAAAGATAACAGGTTGTGCATGTAAAAAGAGCGAAATATATTTTATAAAACTACATTAGATTTCTGTGCAGGTCTCGAGTTTATCTTTTCACTAGAGTAATGATATATTTAAATCGTATAAATGTAAAGGAGATTTTTTTTCCAATCAATTTTCATCAGGTTCTCACACACTCTTAAATATAACTTGCTATTTAAATCTTCTTTTTATTTTTATTCTTTTTTTTTATTTTTTCCCTTTATTTTATTTTATTTTTTTTACAGTTGTAGATTTACAATTTTTTGTGCTTGGGTTTCAATTATACAATGATCAGATACCCATCCCTCCACCAGTGCCCATTTTCCACCACCATGGATAATATCCCTCCCACCCCCATCCCCCCATCCCCCCTGTCTCTGTGGCAGGGCAATCCCCTGTGTTTATTTTTATTCTTTGATCACACAGGGTAATGCAAAGGAATTAATCCTGGTGGTTATTCATGGGACCATGTGCAGTGTTACAGCCAGAATCAACTTCTGGCTGCCATGTGAAAGGCATGCACTTTGTCGTACTATCTCTATGGCTGCTCAAATTTTCTTGTGTGTAATAAAAGAATTTGAAAATTTCAGTCAGGTGCTGAGTCAGAAAAGGTTAAAAATTTTTTTCTGTTTTTTAAATTTAATTTTTTGTTTGTTTTTTGTTTTGAGCACACCTAACTGTGCTCAAAAGAAAAGCAAAGACAGGGTTTTGCTTCTGTCTTTGACTCAAGAATTCCTTCTGGCAGAAAGCATGGTACCATGTGGGAACCCAGGTATCTAACCCAGGTTAGCCCTGTGCAACATAAGTGTACTACCCATTGTACTACCTATGATCCCCTAATAAAGATTTAGGGTGCTTATATATATATAATATTTTTGAAATATTATTAATTTAAAGTTTGAAAAATAAAAAAATTTACATTTTTCAGACCACTTGATCACTGGTTTGTAAATTTATAGGCTATTTGATTAGCAAGTTGGTGAGGTCTTTAGTGATTATAGAAACAACTTAAATATCTGACATGAATGGCCTTCCACAAACCCCACTTACAAAACTAAGCAAACTAAACAAAGAAACAATGACACATTCTTTGAACAAAAAGGAAATTTCTCTTTGCTTTAGTAATCTTATAACACACTAAACTAACTCTTTAATTCTGTTGTCACTTTTTTAAATGTTAAAAATTATAAGTCACATATAGTAATAAAGGCCCTCCCGTTGATCGTCGATTTGCTCGAGCGGGCCCAGTAACGTCTCCATTGGAGACTTTGTTGTTACTGTGTCTGGCATATCGAATACTCTCGGTAGCTTGCCGGGCTCTCCGAGAGGGGCAGAGGAATCGAACTCGGGTCAGCCATGTTGGCCGCTTGTAAGGTGAACGCCCTACCCGCGTTCGCCTTACAAGCGGCCAACATGGCCGACCCGAGTTCAATTCCTCCGCCCCTCTCGGAGGAACCGAAATTGTAAAACTCCTATGTCATTAGGAAACACCCAAACAAAATTACCTTGTTTTCCACAAAATAAATTATTTCATATAAACTCATTAATCCTCATTACTTTTGAGAAAAATAATACTTAAAATGTGTCTAATTGAATATGTAGACAAATTAATTTTATTCTATAAAAATGACCTGCTATATCTTCTCATGTATGTTTTTATTAATATTGTAAATGCTTTTGGCAAAGATATATATGCTTTGTTATGGTGACTAGATGCTTAATTTTTTATTACATTACATTGTATAAATTGATTCTATTATGTTTAATATTTATTTATTGATAATTTAGAGAGAAATACTTATTTTCTTCTTGATCCAATGTATAAAAGTTTTATTAATTTTTGTCTTCAGTTCTAATCAATTTTTAGTCTCTTTTTGTTACTACTTTTATTCATTTTCTTATTTTGACCAGGGCATAAAAACATGTTAAATAGTATTTGTAAGCGTATACATTCTAATATTATTCCAGATCTTAATGAGAAAGTATAAATTTTCTCTATTACTAGTGAATAGTAATTTGCTCTGTTTTGATCTATAGTTTTCTTTCAAGATTAGGTAATTACCTTCTGTTAACATCAAACTATTTGAATAAAAATTACAAATTTGTTTTCATCTAATGCATCTCTTGAATATCCTGAAATAATTATCTAGTATATTATTTAGTCTAGTCATATTATTATTTACTGATGATGTTTACCAAATGTAAAATAAATATAAATAACCTTCAATTCAATAATAATCCATGCTTTCTTAGATTGTGATGAACAAAATAATTTATAATATATTTTTGTATAGCATTCTATTCAATACATAAGTTAGCATAACTATGTTGCTAATAAAATTAATTAAAATACTTATTACTAACGATTCTTATCACAAGATGATTTTCAAACCAGTCCTCTTGGAGCCTTCTGTGATTTTATTGATAAACCATTGCTTTATAAAATTGCATTGGTTTTAAAGAGAAAATCACACCTCTTCCAAGTATGTTACTGCACCACACTTACCCCTAAGTACCGACATCTGTTCATTACGATGTTCTTAAACTGAATTAAGGCGGGAGAGTGTATGTGGTCCTAACAGAATAGTGCTTCTTCCTCACCTGAAAATTCAACCAGAAAGTCTCCATGGTTGTTTTTTTATCTCTGTATAAATTTTACTTGCTTCCTCTCAAAAATGTATTGCACATCCCTGACATAGTTAAACATACAGTTCAAATATAGTATTATTATTAACATTTATGCCTAAATTTTATATGAAGTATAAAATGAACGAATTAGGTGTCTATAGCAAATACCATTACATCTCTGTTTATGTTGTAATTGTCATTGTAAATATTTCCAATTCATATGTATTAAAACTTTTTAACCCATATATCCTTTAAAGATTGAGATAGACTCTGTACTGATATAAAGATATAGGTTGCAATGTTCTAAGCACAACTTTCTACTGCATCCATGCCATAAGAGACTAGTTCACCCTTAGTATAAAAACTCAGAACTGTTAAGAGAAAGAACGAGTAAATACGATAAATTGTTTTGTCATCCAAACATCCTTTAAAAAAATATGTTCTCTCTCAACTTTGAGAAAATCTAGTTAAGATTCCTGCTCTACTGGTTTGATTCATAGTTGAAAAACAAACAAACAAGAAAAAAAACTCTTGAAAAATACTCATGTTTCCATATACAGAACTTGAGTAATACAAATATGAGTCTTAAAGGAGGTAGCTCTCACCAACACTGTATTAATAAATTTCTGTTCTGTCATTCATAGAGTTCTGCTGGAGAAAGGGCATATGTAATATGGAAAGAAATAATGGTTCCATGTTGACAGAATTTATCCTCATTGGGCTTTCTGCCCATCCAAAGCTACAGACAGTTTTATTTGTTCTAGTTGTATGGATGTACCTGATTATCCTGCTGGGAAATGGAATCCTTATCACAGTAATCATCAATGATTCCCACTTACACACCCCTATGTATTTTTTCCTCTGTAATCTTTCCTTCTTGGACATTTGCTACACAAGTTCTTCTGTCCCATTAATACTTGATAATTTTCTGACAGTGAGAAAAAGGATTTCATTCTCTGGGTGCCTGGTGCAAATGTTTCTCTCATTTGCCATGGGGGCCACAGAGTGTATACTTCTAGGCATGATGGCACTTGATCGCTACATAGCCATCTGCTACCCACTGAGATACACTGTCATCATGAGCAAAAGTGTTTATGTGCCCCTGGCAGTAGGATCCTGGGTTGCTGGGTTTGTTGATTCAATGGTGCAGACATCTCTTGCAATACAATTATCATTCTGCGCAAATAATGTCATTTATCACTTTGTCTGTGAAATTCTGGCTATCCTAAAACTGGCCTGTTCTGATATTACAATCAATGTGATAAGCATGGCAGGGTCAAATCTGATATTTCTGGTTATTCCACTGTTAATAATTTCCATCTCCTACATTTTTATTGTTGCCACTATTCTGATGATCCCCTCTACTGAAGGAAAGCGTAAGGCCTTTTCCACCTGCTCAGCTCATTTGACAGTGGTGATTATATTCTATGGAACCATTTTCTTCATGTATGCAAAGCCCAAGTCTAAAAACTCAGCCGATAACCAAGACATCTTTGACGCTCTCATCTCCCTCTTCTATGGAGTGGTGACCCCCATGCTGAATCCTCTCATCTATAGTCTGAGGAACAAGGATGTAAAGACTGCTATGAAGAACATGCTGTACAGGACAAAGTTCTCTGACAGGATATGAATACTGATTTACACAATGTGACTTGGGATCCCAGCTACAGCAGATGCAAAGTTCAAAAAGAAAATTATCATATGAAACAAATTCATGATGTGGTATTTGAAAACATAAGATAGAAATATTGTGATTGCTTCTTTTAGTATTAGGTGTTTGTTCTAACTACAGAAATAAAATATTCTTGTGATTTAAAAATAGATGTGTAAATTTTGAATATCATAAGAAGTCACAGCAAAGCATAGTTGCTCTAAACCTTCAAAAATTACTAAAGACAAAAGGTGTCCTAAGGAGTGCTTTGTAATCTGAAATTGAGATATCATTCATTAATTATACAATGGAATATTAATATATAACAGTATATATTTATTTGTAATTTGTTTTTTCCACACACATAGGTTCTCTGAGAATAAGAACTTCTGTTTTTATACAACAATCTAAAAGACAGCCTGATTAATAACATATGCTCAATAAATAAAGCACATTATAAATAAAAAAAGAAATGTGCACCTTTCATGTCTGAGATGAAAAAGTTTATTTCAAAAGAAAATTTGGAGTGAGAGAGCTAACACACAGATAACATGCTTGCCTTGCATCCTGCTGACCCTGGTTTGAATCCCCACTACCAGATATGGTCCCCTTCAATCACCACGACCAAAAGCCCCTAAAAGGAAAAATGATTAATAAAATTGATTCAGTGTAAAATTTATTTTCTAAACTGACATTTTGTCATAAGAGTTATTAATAAAGATTTTTCTTTTATTTTTTGTGCGATATGTATTGTAATGTAAAGGAACAGCTGTAGTTTTTAAGCTACGATACCTTTTCTAGATTTCATACATAATAAGACTAATATAACAGAAAAAGACTCCTGATAATACAGCCTACATTGTAACTTATAAAGTAGAACTAATATGGTGGCAAAGAGTTCCTCTTAAGACTTTGAGGAGACAAAGTTGTTAGGAAGACTTTTTCCTATTTTATAGGATCACAATTTCTAAGCAAGCAGTAGAAGAACTAAATAAAACTAATAACTGAAAAAATTCATAAAAAGATAATAAATGGAAAAAGAGGGTCAATTGACTAATGAACTGAAAGCAACAAAGTTTGAACAAGGTGATTAAATCAGAGTTGACCACAAAATGAGATGATCCATATTTGCTAAAGAGTGTAGCCACATAACACAGAGCCAGTATAAGAATAAAGGATGACATTTCTATTAAAGATCACTTGATCACTTGACATCCCATTACTCATCGATTTTCTTGAGCAGGCGCCAGTAAAGTATAGTGTAACCCAATGGCATCTGCTCACTCTAGGAACACAAAGAACCTCAAACCGATCGTTCAGGGTCTTGACGAAGTAGTTTGACCATCTCTTAGGTGGGCGGATACTCAATCTTTTGACGTCCCGTGGAATCCAGTCGGTAACGGCTCTAGTCCAGCGGTCATCTCCAAATCACATTATGTGTCCAGCCCATCTGATTTTCGATGCCTTGGCAAACGAGACAATATCCTTGATTCTCAATCATCGATGGAAGTCGGAACTCTTTCTGTCACTTGAGTGAAGCGTGATACTCCAAGTATAGGTCTTTCGATTCCTCCTTGGGAGACCCAAATAGTGTTCTCATTCTGTTTTCACAGGACCCATGTCTCTGAGGCATATGTTAATGCACGAAGAACAGTGGAATCAAAGAGATGTGCCGAAAGCTGAAAGTTCTTCATCCTCTTAGCTATTTCTTCAATGCTCTTGTTCCAAGCCACTCTCTTCCTCCTGCGCAACTCAGGTGCCAGGTCATTCTTCAGGTTGAGTTCTTGACGTAGGTACGCATAACTGTTGCATTCGGATATGTTTGTTATATTGAGAGCTAATGGAGTGTCAGGAAGATCATTTCTCATAAACATTGTTAAAGATATTGTCATAAAAATCTATTCAGGAAATTATTCCTTTTTGTTAACACTGTACAAAGTAAATGGAAATTGAAATATAGAATGCATATCAGGTGGAAGGATATGATTATTTCAATTTGTGAGAACAAGTTCATAATACCTTTCTTTTCTCTTAACATGTAATTATTGCTACCTCATTAAATATACTAATTCCCACAAAGTACATTAAGTAGTGACTGAAATATTCCAAATGTTACCCAATAAACATTAGCCATTCTATTACTATTACTACTGAATGTATCTTAAAAGCTAACAGAGCTTTGAGTAAGCATAAGATTTCTATAATTTATACTAGAGTAATTTTAAACTATTAGATATTGTCACATGCAATTTTGCTTTTCTATGTTCTGATTTTGAATTAGGATTAGTTTACAAAGAAAACAGTAGTTTTCCTTTGCTACCTAACTTCTGTTCTGTTCTTCTTAACAAGGAGAAAGAAAGGAAGAAAGAAAGAAAGAAAGAAAGAAAGAAAGAAAGAAAGAAAGAAAGAAAGAAAGAAAGAAAGAAAGCAGGAAAGCAAGAAAGCAAGAAAGGAAGGAAGGAAGAAAGGAAGGAAGGAAGGAAGGAAGGAAGGAAGGAAGGAAGGAAGGAAGGAAGGAATTTTGATGAATATAAGGGACATGAGTTTGTTTCCTGTTCATGTTAGTATAACATCGGCCATGGTTCTTCACAGTTTGTTGGTAGCTGCAACATCTCAGGGGCATCCAGAATTTGTTTCAGTTTTCATTTCTTGTTTTCTGTAATACACAACTACTAGCCTACTCATGCTGCCTTGGAAGTTTGAATCTGTCAGTCAGTATTTCCTTCTGGTAGATTAACTATCCCATTAAGTCTTTACACTATTTTGTGATATCTTTAAAAAAAAATAAGTACAGTATCAGATAAAGCACAAGTGGCCAACAATAGAAAAAGCATAAGCTTTTTGGGGGTATGGTGTCGCCAGCAGGTCAACCTCCACCTGTGAGGCGAGTGCATCAGCAGCGTGATGGCACCGTCAGACTTTTAGAAAACCCCAAAATTGCTGTTGAGCCTTTGGCCAGACCCCAAAAACTTGGGGCAAAGTTTACCAAGAAAGTAAACGGCCAAAAGTTAAGTATGTGGGAGACACACCCACAAACCACCTCCGGCTCAGCTATATAATTGGAGGCATGGTCTCTCTGGTTCCTGATTGAACTGCTTAATGGCCATGATCCCAGAGACTCAGAAAGGAATCTCAGAACCCAAAGGCTTTTGGCAGAAATGTATCCTGTTCCTGCAGTAGTTTACTGGCGCTGGGCCACTCCAGGTAGGAATAGATTTTGTGCCTTGGCCTGTTCCCCCTGGTGGCCCAGTGACCACCATCCTCCAGAGGCCACTGGACAGTCAGGTTTGGGCCTGCAGTGACGAGACACGCAGGGCCTCACCAGATGGGGTGGAACTGGCCCTTTCCTCCCCATCCCAATGAGACCCCGAACCGCCGCCTACAAACGGTCTCTCTGGCTCCTGATCAAGCTGATTAAAGTCCATGATCCCAGAGACCCAGAAACAAATCTTGAACCCAGCGGCTTTTGGCAGAAATGCATCCGGACTGCATACAAGGTGGCTGCCGCCTCAGAGTTTATTGGAAAGCCAGGTATGAGCTGGCGGTGATGGGGCAATTGCAGTCTCATGGGAAGGGGGGCAGTACTGGCTCGTCCTTCACGCCCTACCGAGGTCACGAGTTAGCCCCCACAAGCGGCTCTATGGCACAGCCATGGCTCCAGAGGCAAAAGGACTTAGTCCAGAGCTCGGCAGCTTGCGGCAGAAAAGTGAATGGACTATGCATTAAATTACAGCACCATGCCTCCCTGAGAAGAAAAGGGTATTGCTCCCTTCCGCCTCCCCTTCCCTCCAGCAACAAGGTGGCCGCCACCTCAGAGCTTATAGGAAAGCCAGGTATGAACCGGTGGTGACAGGGCAACTGCAGTCTCATGGGAAGGAGGGCGGTACAGGCTCATTCTTCATACCCTACCTTGGTCATGAGTTACCCTCCCCACAAGCGGCTCTCCGTCACAGCCATAACACCAGCCACACAGAAACCAATCTTGCAATTATCTGGCTCTTTGCAGAAATTGAAAATCACGCCACCACGATAGTGGCCACGTGAGATTATATGATTCTCATAACCACTTATAGAAAACAAAGTATTTCACAATGCCTTTTCAGCAATTCTGATTGTTGGGGGGGGGGGAATTCTAAACAATAATGGTGCATCCTTTTTCAAAATAATGAATGTAATCAAAGGAGGGAAGAGTTAAGTAGAAATCATCTGCCTCACAGGCATTGGGAGGAGCCGGAGGGGGATATATTGGGATTTTGGGTGGTGAAAAATGAGTACTGATGAAGAGAAAGGTGTTTGATCATTGTATAACCGAGACTTAAACCTGAAAGCTTTGTAACTTTTCCTCAGTGATTCAATAAATAAATAAAATTATGAAAAAAAAATAGTAAGGTGGAGTTCATGCCCAATTCAATCAGCTAATCAGTGGCTGAATAAATAGCAGTACTCCTACATTAAAAAAAAAAAAAGAAAAAAAAGAAAAAGCATAAGCTTTTTGCTCAGACTATCATTTCATTACACAATTAAATGACAAGAGGTATTGTATTGAAAAAGACACTTTAAGTTATTTTGCTTACTTACAAACATAGATTATGAAAGTTTCTAATTCTTAGTATATTAAAATCTAATAATATTAAAATTAAATGAAAGGATAACATGAATAGTTGACTAACTCACAGAATAATCTGAGAAGGAATAAAAGGAAATTGAAAAATAAAAAATTCTTTTCTTTCATCAATGTGTATACAGCACTCACTTAAGCTCTATGTCTGACACAGAGTCTAGTATTCCTATAAATTTGTTGAACTAAAGCATATGCAAGTCTATTAATAATTAAAAATAATTTCAAGAGAGTAAATATGTAATTTCCAAAATAACTCATCAAAGTCCCATTATTTGATCCTCAAGATTCAAAGGGCTAATATTTTCCCAAGCTAACAGATGAGAAAAACTAATTTTAGGAGCACAGAAATATGTAAAAT